CAATATCTGTACCACAAGTGGGAGGTAGTGTCATACCAATATCTTTATCACAAAGTGGTTGGTAGTGTAATACCAATATCTGTACCACAAGTGGGAGGTAGTGTCATACCAATATCTGTACCACAAGTGGGAGGTAGTGTCATACCAATATCTGTACCACAAGTGGGAGGTAGCGTCATACCAATATCTGTACCACAAAGTGGGAGGTAGCGTAATACCAATATCTGTACCACAAAGTGGGAGGTGTGTCATACCAATATCTGTACCACAAAGCGGGAGGTATTGTCATACCAATATCTGTACCACAAAGCGGGAGGTAGTGTCATACTAATATCTTTATCACAAAGTGAGCCAATCAGAATGTGATCTTGCTTGCAGCTGTGTCACGTATGCAAGTCAGTAGATCATAAACAGATTCAGTGACACCACCTGGGTTTCCACATGAGCCAATCAGAATGTGATGATGCTTGCAGCTGTGTCACATAGGCAAGTCAGTAGATCATAAACAGATTCAGTGACACCACCTGGGTTTCCACATGAGCCAATCAGAATGTGATGATGCTAGCAGCTGTGTCACGTAGGCAAGTCAGTAGATCATTAACAGATTCAGTGACACCACCTGGGTTTCCACATGAGCCAATCAGAATGTGATGTTGCTAGCAGCTGTGTCACGTAGGCAAGTCAGTGGATCATAAACATCTTTTGTTATTCAAATAACAGCAATGCACACAGATTCTTCCCATGATTCCATGCACACTTCTATTTGCAGGGTTTGAGGTAATATGACAAAAACATAGAGTAAAGGATACTGACATGTCATACCAATAAACTATTAATGGTATTGGCAACAAATCTGTTAATTGCCATCTGTGTTGTCAATAAAAGTTTTATAAAGTTTTGGAATTTTTACTTACACCGCAATTTCTTCCAAACACCAAAGCAGCAACATTGTCAGCTAAGCTGCTGTTTGATTTGCAGTGCGCGTCTCCAAATAATTGCACAATTAGAAAAATTTGGGTCAAACCAACATCAACAGGATACATCAAACCAATAGTGAAGGATTCGGACACATCAAGTATAAATAGAAGATGATGATGTAATTACCGTCAAATTGATTTCATATCATATCATATAAATATCATTATTGCATTTTTAAAATGATCATTTATCAACTACTTGTGACAATGTCAAAGACAAAACATCCAATACGATATCTCAGCTGAGTTGGACTAGAAAGTATGGCGTCTTAAATTGTTATAAAAATTACAATTTAAAATTGTACAAAATTGACAATATAATACTTGTATGTCACTTATATTTACAAGTATTAAACACATATATTTTCAAGGATTCTGTTATAACAAAATACATTTAAAAAATTACATTAAAAATCAATCTGAAATGTGCATTTGTTCATTCTCAACTACAGTGATGGCTTTGTCCTAACCAGTTCTAATTACTAGTATATAACAATTTGAAATATTATGGTGGTGACAGTAATGCATTATTTAATAAATGTTTATGTTGAAGAAGTATCATTTTGTTGTGATAGTGAATAATAATAATACAATAACTAATTAAAATCACACAGTTTTCCTGAGAAAAAAAATGGTTGAAGTATTTAATTTATAGTTTTCCATACTACTTGTTTCAGAATATTCTGGAGATTTGACATTAGCCTTAGAACCCAAAGTACCAGGTTCTGATCCTGATTTGGATTTAACTACTGGTTCTGAACAACTAGAAAAAGTCTTCACACCCTCTGGATCCCCAAAGAAAGATTTCCCGATTGGAATTGATGGGCAATTACTATCCCCAAAGAAAGATGTTGAACCAGCTGCTGAAGCATCTAAAAGTGATCCCAAAAGAGGTATGTTTTACTTTTTCATAAAGCTGGTCCATTGAGTTACATCAGGCTGTTCTCTGCACTGACCACAGCAATGCTTATGAAAAAATGTTTTTTATAGGCAAATCACTGGTACAAAATGTAATCTACATGTATGATGGTGATATCATTGCTTTAATCTGATAGACACTGAGAAGACTATTACATCAAGTCTTCCTTCCTGACTGTTATCATGCCCTTTAAAACAGTCTGAGAAGTATTACATCAAGATATATTATCTATCATTTTAGAAACACTGAGAAAATT